TATCTACTAATTATCCGTAGTTATTAGAGAATAACCTAATTGCCTAATTAAAATCTAGTTATTCTCTAATAACTACGGGTAATTAGTAGATATCAATTTGTGCAAACGTACATTTGTAGCTTTGACCATTATGCACATGAAAATCATACTTTTATTTCAGTTACTTGTGTCAAAGTGCTATATTATAACTTTAAAGATAATTACATTTGGGGCAATAAAATGTGATGACGTCATCCATATGGTCCATAAATTCATATTCATAACCCTTTTGAACCCAGGTATCAATATTCAGTACAACTACAGTTCTTTCTAAATTTCTTTGTGAGAAAACGATGGAAAGCTAAAATGCCAAATTAGCCAGGGAGGACGCCTTAAATCTGAAACAGAAAACACGTTGGACTGTAAAAACACTGGGAAAAATGTAAAAGCACATGGTGGGGTAAAAACCTGTCATTTAGTATGTCTGACAATCTACTGAACTAGCAGCGCATTGTCAATCAGCCGCGAGGGACGATTTGCTGCCGAGGGAGTTTTTGCCGCGGAGAGAAGGATTCCCGCTCCAACATGACTGCTTCCAGTCGGCAATCTAGATTATCATCAATAGAGACTGCTTTTCTATGTCAGAGAACTTCAACAGGAGTTGCAGTTTGTACCTTGTTGTCTGGCCTAAATGCATACTGCATCGGAAATCAACATGTTGTCTACGTTTTAGATTTATCGAAAGATGGATTGTAATTTAAGTCCAAGCAAACATATTAGATCATTAACAGCCCCGGGGCAGAAATGTTTATGGTGTTGCTGAAACGTCCTGATCAGCTGGGGGCTGAACTGTCTGACATTTCTCATTCATTACTCCAGTAAGAAGTACATGTAGAGTTCCAGGTATATGTTCGTAACTGTTACTACGTACTTAGATCTGATTAGGTCAGGAGGGGCAGACAGAAGGACACCATACATGACGTGGGTAGGATAGTAAGAAATTTTCCGTCTGTGATGGAATCCATGAGCTGGTTCAACCCAAGAATGTGATGTGCAGGTGAGACAGGAGGTGGAGAGGATAGAAGTCCTACTGGTGTCTGTCTGTACAGTATACTCGGCTAGCCTCCTTCGCAGTCTTGTTGGCCGTCGGCGTTATTTTTTCTGTGAGCGACGCTAGTAATATGCCGCCGCGAGGGACGATTTGCTGCCGAGGGAGTTTTTGCCGCGGAGAGAAGGATTCCCGCTCCAACATGACTGCTTCCAGTCGGCGACTAAAAAGGGCTATTAAAAAACACTTAGGAGCGATTGGCATGGATGTGTGAACTTCCCGCAATAAACACCACCAGGGCAGGGAGCGCGTGTCAGCCTTCGACATGCGTATCTGTGAATTACCCTTGCGCGGACATGTGAATTACCCCTGTGCGAACATGTTAATAGCCTCTATAAAAGGCTGGCTTAATCCAAGGACCTCTATAGTCACCGACTGGAAGCAGTCTTGTTGGAGCGCGAATCCTTCTCTCCGCGGCAAAAACTCCTTCGGCAGCAAATTGTCCCTCGCGGCGGCATATTACTAACGTCGCTCACAGAAAAAATAACGCCGACGCCCAACAAGACTGCGAAGGAGGCTCGTCTCTTCTTGTGACACTGTCACGACCACATCAGTTTTAATGGCAGAACTAAAGACAGAAGTGTGGTATCAGGGAGGGGTGGCAAAATCAATGATAGTAATGTTCTAATATCTTTAGCTAATGGTACACAAGGCATTCTTTTATACCTTTGATCAGGTGACGTAATTTCCATGTTATGTTCTGATGTAGGCAGCTGCTGAAGGACCCACAGGTGATATTTGCGGGGTACAAGGTGCCCCACCCCCTGGAACACAAGTTTGTGCTGAGAGTGCAGACCACACCTGACTACAGCCCGCAGGAGGCCTTCACTAACGCTATCACAGACCTCATCAGCGAAGTCTCTCTACTGGAGGAGAGATTCAAGGTGCTGTACAGTCATTCAAGTTTGAAGCTTTAAGTCCAAAGAAACCTAAAAGTCAAGAACCGAGTCTGGACTTACTACCATAAAAGACAATTTCACATACACCTTTTCTTTCCAAACCATCTAAAACCTTCCATAGATTGTAAAATCTTTGCTGCAAAATGAAGAAAACATTGCCATCGGGCATCGTCAAGTGTTGGTCTCCATGTTATGTGGCCAAAGTTTCACCCAGACAACATTGCAAGGTTGCCAACATGCAATTTTGTATATGCCATGGGTTTAGCTCCGGACTTACAAGTCCAGAACTGAACCTAAACCTCTGGACTTGAATCTGACCTGAACCTAAAATTTGGTTTAGGTATGCATCACTACTTATTATATGTATCTCACTAACTCATTCACTATCCGGTTTGCCGTCTGTTGTTCCGTCTTCCGAGTGTTAGATGTGCTTGCAGCTTCCACTGCAGTACCTAAACAAGAGTTCCGAGATCTCATACCTCCATGAAATATGGGCTTGACATGTAAATGTTAATTTCTTCTTTAATTATGCAAATTACCTCCACATTAACATAATAAATGCATCGTGATGTTAACTTTTGATTAACTTACACATGTACCAAGTACGAAATTCCCATCATTTACCACTAAGGAGTCATAGAATTTTCGCATTAATTATGCAAATTAGGTCATCATTTGCATAATTGGTATCTAATGATGTTCCATCTGCCATAGATTACATACATTACATGTATGAAAGTACTATAATGCAAAACACTGTAATTATAGAATTTCCTCATTAATTATGCAAATTAAGTCCTCATTTGCATAATTTGCAGTTAATTATGTACATCTCTCTCTCAGCTACCTACCTACCAAAAATGATGAAAATACATTGTTTCTATCTGGACTTATTGGCTTTTAAAGATTTCGCCCGAAAGTCCCCTGCAGTTCCAGAACAAGCTGCTAGGGGGACCAAACCCACACCACTTATTCCTGACAAGACAAGCTATCTGCCACCAAAAAATCAAGACCATAGCATATTCAGGACAAAAGATACAAAAACCGGAAGTTCTGCTGCAGTACCAAGGTCATCCACCAGGAGGCGTATATTTGACCTTGACCTTCGTCTTCCTAAGACCTACCAGCATACCAAATATCATCACAATCCATAAAGGCGTTATGAAGTTATGCTGGCCGCAAATGTGCGGAGACACAAACATGTACAGACAGACAGACACACAGACAGACGCAACAAAAACAATACCTCCATTTTCATGGAGGTAATAACACAAGTTGTTTGTTTTCAAACACACAGCCATACAGTGGCACATTTGCCCTGAAATAGGTCACCTATTCCCCTGAGGGAGCGCGCTGCCTCGCTCGGCATAGCCACATCTGTTACCCTGGCTCAAGTACAAAGGAGATTCCTCTCAGCCATGCCCTGACTCAACCTTGAACCGGAAGTGCTGCTGCAGTACCAAGGCCATCCACCAGGAGGCCCATATTTGACCGTGACCTTTGTCCTCCTAAGACCTACCAGCATACCAAATATCATCACAATCCATAAAGGCGTTATGGAGTCATGAAGGTACAAATATGCGGAAACACAAACACACATACACACACACACACACGCACACAGACGCGCCAAAAACAATACCTCCATTTTCATGGAGGTAAAAAGATGAAAGGGGGCACCAAACCAAACCTAACCTACTCACCATATCACAACACAACCCACCCATAGATTTGTGGGGTTCACACACACATCAACACAGAAATGGACCTGAAACACCCTTGTGTGAAGGTCTTCAGGTCTGCAATGTCTCTTGTATGATGCTGATGTATTGTGTGTGTCCTGTAGGTGGCAGTGAGAGAGAAGGAAGGAGTGGAGTAAGGAGGAAACCATTGACAACCAACAACAAACACTCAACCTGGGGAAACAACAAGGGATATCTCTATATAATACATTGTGCATTTCCTGACTACAATGACAGACTAGGCTATAGCATAGTATAGGGATCATATATTATCCTAGGAAACACCTGTGTAGTTTAGACATTTTGTTGAAACAGCAGTGTCTTGTGACAGAAAAATTGCCAGCAGAAAGTTCCGTAAGACACGTAGTTTCTGCTATTCACGCTGTCATGTTTTGTCTGGGTAGTACATGTATGTGAAGATGTTGCCACGAGGGACTCAAGGTTAAAGATTTGTGTTGAATATATTTAAAGAGCAAGGTACAGTTTATGTTTTGTTGCTGTGCAGCCTGTCATAAATTCATTGTACGATGACTTTCAGATTGCCAACACCTACTCACATACCACTGCACCCATCAATTCATGTTGAAAGGGACAGATACAAATGCGTCCAAAAATATAACCAAGGTTTAATGCAGAATATACATAATTGTGCACCCCCGTTTTTCTGGCATAACTTTTGCTGGGCTTCATAAAGAAGTATTGTCAAGATCCAGTCTCATCTGGATCAAAGAATAAAATAAAATAAAGAGCCTTATTTGTCATTTTTACATGACATTGTTGCTGTATTTAATAATATGTACTTTCCTGAATTTCTATCATTGAAATTCGTTAATGAAGTCATAAGTGTAAGTGTAGGTGTGTACAGTTTGATAATTAGGCCATAGAACTAAGGCAGTTCACCTGTTTATCTGGAGTCTGCACACCCTCCAGTCTAGCAACTGCCTCTTCCAGGAAATAATTTGGTAGCAAAATAACTATCAAACTTCGTCATATACTGTAGCTGAAGGGAAATCCTTCCATGGAAGAATATCCCTTCAGCTATATGACCAAGTTTTGTTTCATCTAGTTGTTGGTAAATTGCCAGAAAAAAAATTCCAAGTTAAAAAGAGACACTGCACATTGGGAATCTGTGCATAAGGTCATACCAATTTAATTGGTTGTTTCTCTGATTTTTTTCAGAAAAAGTATGTAAGCGACGGCGAAATAATGAAAAAAAACAAAACAGGCCAAGGCACCCCATGATAGCCAGAAATGTTACGATATGAGCCATGAAGTCAACATACCAGGCTGGTTTAGAATCAAAACAAAGATTATAGGTTTTGAACTTTTAATGAAACAAAGTTTCATTGTTACATTGAAAAATTTGAACAACTAGGAAGAAAAGGACTTTCTTCAAATGTTGGGGCCAAAATATGTCTTTCATTGAGCATTTTGCAGTTGATTCAGAACCTCAAATCTTTTTTTTTTTTGCAAATCAGAAAAAATGGACAGGGCGAATCCGAGAAACAACAAATTAAATTGGTGTGGCCTAAACTCAAATCAGCTGCCTAGTGGTCCAGCATGTATTACCGGTACTGTTGCAGCTTGACTAAAGAAACTCAAACCTGAACCCTCAACACCCTCTACGCACGCTACCATGGACTGTCTTGGAAGAACTTGGGTGTGCAAATCTTCCACACTGTACTTATGTAATACAAATGTACATGTAATACGAGTAAAAAGAATAGTCTAGTACCAAACTCAAATTTTGTCCTTAGTTTAGCTTTCTGTTTCTCAAATTTACTGTTTTGAAGTCGACAATATGAAAATTTGGAAGGTTTCAACATCTGCAGGGGCCTGGGAAAACTGACATTTCTATTACGACAATCATGGATTATAGTACACTCATCTTCAATTAGCGCTAGCGGGAGCGTGATA